TTTGTCAATTAAAGTATACAAACCTATACATTTTTAAAAAGGTAATCCAATTTTCTATTTTTTAATGTATGTCTTGTCATTTTAAGTTGATGTTTAGTTGTTTAAAAACATTTTTATTTAACATGGGGGTGCATGTTTTTGAGAGTGATCTCCCCTTGCTTAGTATTTCAGGGTGTGTTTTGGTGTTAGTGGTTAGTAGCGAATGGGTTAACTGAACCAACTTAACAATGCTGAGCCCTTGGTAAAGAAATTCTTCCCTTTGAATACTGGGGTTTTATATTTGGTTGGGGGACATTTTTTCACCAGATCATCTAATGCTCTAGTTATTAGCAGTGTTAAATGAGCATCTAAATGTAATGTGCGATCTATTTAAAAGAAAAAAAATTAAATCTTTTTTATAAGACACAAACATACTCCAATTACCTAATTAGTTCATTAGATTATTTCAGTGTCAAACTTTTTTGTGATAACAAGTTTAAGTTGTTATGTGCAATGCACCTATAAGATGACACTACTTATTTACTGTGCCCAATGCACCTTTAAGATGACAAGACTTAGTTGCTGTGCCCAATGCACTTATAAGACCTTGTATTCCACTCTCACAGTTTGGAGGATGTCAAGTCTGCAGTGAACCAAGTGCCAGGCGGATATAAATATATTGAGAGGACATTGGCAGCTGCGTCACGGTGTTTGACTGGGAAGAAGTAGATCAGTCTAATGGAGATGTGTGAAATGGACAGTCGATAATTGTACTTGGAGTCTTTGTGATAGGATTAATCAACAACCAGTAGAGACTAGCACAAAATCCTTCATGATGCTGACTAATTTATGTTTATGTAAAATACACTTCTAATCTATCAAACACCTATCTATCAATACTATCATTCTCCAACACTGACTTACACACTGCTATTCGGGTTGCTATTCGGGTTGATGCGGTTGTCACTCCACATTACAGTGTCTGCAAACGCCTTATGTATACCCTTTTGTTTATAATACCAATAGGCTCTTCGTCTTATGCTGTAAAACTGTTTTCATTGATCACCAAATATAAACACCAGTGTATATACATACAATACAGTTTTGTACAAGTGTGCACCAATGTCGTGTAAAAGGAAAAATAATTTTGTACAAATATGTATATAGAATTTTACATATAAATATTGTTTTAAAAAAATAATTTTTTCTAACAACCTGTATTAACATCAACATAAAAAAAATATGCTCTCTTGCCTGTCTGTAACCCATTCAAAATTCTTTCTCCAGTCAACCTTACATGTGTAGAGCTCTCTCTGATCCCGGGTAGTTTCTGTCACTCTTACCCAAGCTTACTTGTTTTTTTAAACCACCACCTATGTTTAGCCCTGTTCATATGTTACAAAAATTTTTTTTTTTTTTTTTGCAAAACAATACAAGTAATGAGTGCATAAAAATTGTTGTTATTCCATGTTGATTATCCTTCATGAAGATTTTTTTTTAATCAATGACAAATATTTTTTTTCCTGTGTAGTTCATCAGGAATTTAAAATTTAGCTTTGGTGGTGTCTGCAGTGTTTCTCAAGGTTGTTGTTTTTTTTTTACTTTCCAGAAGACACTTTTGCCCGTGACTTGTAAATTGTTTCAAAGTGAAATATGTTAATGTGTGTGAGTAGTCTAACACACAGATGTCTCAGTCATAGATTTCCAAGAAGAAAAAACCTTAAAGTAGCCACATCAGCTTTTAGTTTGTTGGCACAACCGGCAAAGTACATTGACACCACACATTTTGAGAATCACTGACATTAAAAATGCAACTGTTTATTAAAAAAAAAACACCTAACTTCGACACCACATCTGTTGAAAAGTACTGCTGCGAGTATGCAGTGCAATTGTTGCTAGCAAAATGACATTTTGCTTCATCTGCAAACATGATTCTGTTGTTGGAATGGATTTCTTATGTGTTTCTATATTGTTGTTATGATATGATGTTGTATATGTTACAGCTTTGTAAATTAGCAGTGCAAACATTTCATTAAAAAAAGTAAGAAATTGATCAGAAATCTTTATTTCCTTGACTCTGTTTCATACAACAGCACACTGATGTCTGGAATGCGACTTGAGCTATTTTGCATAGGGATAGCCAGAACAGCCCAGGGATATTGCTCATATTTATTTTCAAGCAGTAGCAGATCATATTTATTTTTAAGCGGTAGCGGATCATATTTATTTTTAAGCAGTAGCGGATCATATTTATTTTTAAGCAGTAGCAGATCATATTTATTTTCAAGCAGTAGCAGATCATATTTATTTTCAAGCAGTAGCAGATCATATTTATTTTCAAGCAGTAGCAGATCATATTTATTTTCAAGCAGTAGCAGATCATATTTTTTTTTAAGCAGTAGCAGATCATATTTATTTTCAAGCAGTAGCAGATCATATTTTTTTTTTAAGCAGTAGCAAAACAATTAATTTACAACTTGTAGGAGAAAAATTTTTTTTCCACATCTCTGTACCGGTATTGTAACTATTGGTATGTGTAAAAGTGAGATCCCTAAATGATGTCACTAAAATAAGGGGAGGGCGTGGGTTGCAATGAGTTCAAATCAGCTTATAAGATAAGATAGTTCAATCGATCCAAATAAATGGGAAATCTCTTTCTGATAACATTGTTTCAGCACAAGGTGGAGGCAAAAAAAATTTTTTTAAAAAAAAGGCCTTTCCCTATAAACAAAAACCCCCCCCCCCCCCCAAAAAAAAACAACGACCAGTTATGATTTTAAAAGATCATCAGCACCAAGAATGCATTCTTATGGGTATTAATATTAACACTTGGTCAGATCCTGCCAATATGAATGGCTGCCAAAAGAGAGAGGAACGATATTTTAGTGCACCGCAGAAAGAATGCTGACATTGTAAGGCGCTGAATGGTTAGACGAGGATGAAGTCATCCAGTTCCACTACAAGAATATTTCAATAAATCAACTATGCCCATTGATACAAAAGAGGAACAACTGGCTCTGTAATGGAAAGACATCGCAGCTAAAATGCCAATACATTTACTCACAATGTGGTTAACAACGCTTTATATTTTCTGTTAATTTTACACGTAGACAAACTGCCTACATTTTAAACTAAAAAGCCAAGAAAGGCTGCCTAGATTTTAAACTAAAACGACAACCTGCCTGGATTTTAAACTAAAAAGACAAGCTGCCTATATATTAAACTAACAAACCAAAAAAAGCTGCCTAGATTTTCCAATCACCACAATTTTTTTATTTTTTTAACCAAAAAAAGAAGACGGCTGCCTAGATTTTAAAAGTTAAAAAAAAAAAAAAAGAACAAAGAAAGGACGACCGATCTAGATTCTACATTAAAAAAAACCAAGACAAGCTGCCAAGCTTTTGCACCAGCCTATTGCTTGCCAGTTGTTGTTGTGTAAAAGGAAAAATAATTTTGTACAAATATGTACACAGAATTTTACATATAAATATTGTGTTCAAAAAAAATAATTTTTTAACAACCTGGATTAACATCAACATAAAACAATACAAGTTTTAGTGCACAATACAATTGTCTTAGAAAGTTTACAGTATTCAATAGCGTAAGTATTAAGTATATCTCTTTAATTTCAATAAACAAAGTAAAGACCCACTTCACCATTGCGTTATTCAGTTCGCAATAACCTTACTTAACTTGCAACACAATGGACGAACGCTAAACTGTTTTTACGACAAATCGATGTTTATGTGATACAGTATCATTCAACTTTCGCAGCTTTTTGTTTCTTCCTCTTCTTCTATACCTCCAGGGCCCACGATCAATGTATTGAATTGATTAGTATGGCTTCCAATGTATCGGGGGAGGGGGGGGGGAAGGGGGGGGGTGGTTCACGATGTAACTGTGCATGTTTTTTGAAGGGGATACTTTTTGTTGTTGTTGTTGCATAAACACGAGAGCTTCTGTCATTTCATTAAAAGGGCACCACGTCGCGCCAATATCGTATTACCAAGACGAACGATAAATATTGACGGAAATGAATTAATTTAACGCCATTTAAACAACCTCTCATCAGTATAATAATAGTGTGGGTTTCAGTAGCTCAGTGTACTCTTGTAAACGTTTGCAGTTGTAGCCTCTGGCCGTCGAAGTCACCTTTGCTGCTGCTACAGAGATTGCACCCGAGCAATTAATAACTAATTGTTTAAATGGATTGAGAAAAAAAAAAGGGGGGGGGGGGCGGGACAAAAAAGGAGGCATTTAAAAAACCACAAATGGATTGAGAAAAAAAAAAGGGGGGGGGGGGGCGGGACGAATGAGGAGTCATTTAAAGGACCTCAAACTTTCTAGGCAAGCTGGAATCCATCAAATGCGCACTTAGTGTGCTAACCTGCTCATGCGTGCGCTTATTTACAATGACTGAAAGGAAGATCCTAAAACAATAAATATCGATTGGATGTGGACTTGGATATACGGTGATATCTACTTCCAATATAAAACCATTTGACTTAATTTACAGTGACAGAGACTAAAACGCGATGCCCTCCGTGAAAACCCGTGAACTCATTTGTAAAGTATTTTTTGGGGTTAGTTTTGGGGTTAAATGCGAAGACATGTTTATTTATATATATGTTTGAAAGCAATTCGGCCTTTCGTCTTATTTTGTCTGTATGGGCATTTCCCCCACTTCAGATGTTAACTGACACTACACGGGTAATGTTTTCCTTTCCTTTGTCCACTTTGCGTTAATTTAGGCATGCTCCCTTCCGCGCTGGTGGGCACCCAAAAGCTTGAGAATCGTGTGTTCACTGTCTCAGCTGTTCCTAGCCGTAGTAGACCTACATAGATAATACGCTTACACGACACGCGTGCCACCCTCCCATTCTTTTAACCTCACCGCAATGGGAGCTCTATGGGAGCTCATTAGTGAGCTATCCTTACTCACCAAAAGATGATGTGTAGTATTTTTTTTAACAATTTTTTTTTTTTTTTTTTTTTGCTTCAAATTCCGATTTTGCTGGAGAGGAGTCGCGGGAATACCTTTATCCGCCTTTAAAGCACGAAGTTGTTGTGCATGCCTAAAGAGTTGGAAAGTTTCTTCTCAAAAAAATATTTTTTTATTTTTTTTTTACAATTTTTTTTTTTTTTTTTTTTTTTGCTTCAAATTCCGATTTCGCTGGAGAGGAGTCGCGGGAATACCTGTATCCGCCTTTAAAGCACGAAGTTGTTGTGCATGCCTAAAGAGTTAGAAAGTTTCTTCACGCTCCGCTATGTGACGTCAGACTCTAAGTCAATAGCAAGAGCATGTTAGATTGTAATGAAACCGAAAGGCAATACAAATTTCATAAAATTGTTTAATTCGCGAATTTTTCTGTATAAAATCCGGAGTTCGGGAGTATCAATCCACTTCTGTATTCTTGTTCATACCGTCATCTAATCTTATCAAAAAAATTTGAAAAGTTCATATGAAGGTTTTGTAGTAATTGAAAGATAAACTCAACAAATTTGTATGTTCGTCCTTTTAAATTCATGATTTTTTTTTTCTTCATTATAAAAAGATAATATATATATATATAGGCCTATATATACCGGTATATATCTTTAAGGCATGCACAGGTATGCAGTGTCATGACACCATAAACCAGGAGTAGCACGACACACCCGACACACTCAGAGAACCGCTTTCAGAATGCAGCGGCAGGCCAAGTTCAAAACTTACGACATGACGGTCGGCATTCACAACGCCAAGTTGAAGGTGATCGCCAGAAACGTGCTGAACAGCGACGTGCCCATCCGCTACAAGATCAGCCTGAGGGACGACATACTGGCCATGAAGGAGAAGGAAAGGCTCGGCTTCAACTTCAACAGGTGACGTCATTTTTTGTTGGAGGGGTGGGGGGGAGAAGGGGGTGGGTGGAGGGCGAGGGAGGGTGAAGGTGCTGTGAGTGGAGTATTGTAAATCTACCCATGGGTGGGATATTCTAGATCTATCCGTGAGTGGAATATTGTAAATCTACCCGTGTGTGTGATATTCTAGATCTATTCGTGAGTGGAATATTGTAAATCTACCCGTGTGTGTGATATTCTAGATCTATCCGTGAGTTTGATACTGTAAACCTACCCGTGTGTGTGATATTCTAGATCTATCCGTGATTGGAATATTGTAAACCTACCCGTGTGTGTGATATTCTAGATCTATCCGTGAGTGGAATATTGTAAACCTACCCGTGTGTGTGATATTCTAGATCTATCCGTGAGTGGAATATTGTAAATCTATCCGTGTGTGTGATATTCTAGATCTATCCATGACTGTGATATTGTAAATATACCCGTTGGTGGGATCTAGTAAATCTACCTGTGAACTAATGTTACTGATTTTTTTACCAGGTCGCTGGCTGCGTCACTGAGGTCCAGGTGGGATGTTGTGGAGAATGCCACCAAGAGTTTCCTGCAGGAGATTGTGGACATGAACGACCAAATTGAAGATGACAGCAAGAAAAACGAGAGACAGATCATGGGACTCATATTTACTAGATCTACCAACCTAGGTCTGGAATCAAGGTGAGAGACTGTAACACTTTTAGCCTATAGGTGATAATCTTTGACACTTTTAGTCTATATGTGAGAGACCGTAACACTTTTAGTCCATACGTGAGAATCTTTAACACTTTTAGTCTTAGGTGAGAAGTTTCAACACGTTTAGTCTGTAGGCTGTAGGTTTGAAATTTTTACATTTTTAGTCTATAAGTGAGAAACGTTAGCACTTAATTCTAAGCATACTACAGAGCTATCCAAGAATTTCGCAGCACACTAAATAAAAAAATAAAAAAAAAAGCAAGGAAAAAAAAAAAAATAAATAAAAATAAAAAACGAAAAAACCTAAGGTAATAAACACTCTTAGTGGCGTGCGATGCTAAAAGATAGACAGATCACACTGCATCGCTCTATGCTATTAAAGGCATGTATTGGACCCTATTCTGCTATCCGTGTTAATTGGTCTATGTCACTTGTGTAACAAGACGACTCCATGACATAGTCGTGCTTGCGGAATTTTACGCGGCACACTTAGCACACTGGTGGCGAAGCTCTGGTTTATTGTATCGGCAGCGTTCGGAAAAGCGCGGCTGGCGAGCCGCATGCGGCTCTTTAGCGACCTGAGTGCGGCTCCGCCAGTAGGCCACACATTGGCTTTGACTCCGAAAAAAACATGGTTCTTGGAAATAAATGTGGCTCTCAAAATTGTTTTAATCGTCCTGCTGCTGATTTTTTGCTATTTTGACTCATGACTTTCACCAGCCACTGGTGTAGATAGAGTGCAATCAGGTTAGAAAAAAATGAAAATGAGCGAAATGAAGTATGGTGAAAAAAATGGAGGGAAAAAAAAAAGAACGCAACAAAACAACAAACGTGTCGCCAAGAAGCCTTCACCTGCGAATAAAAAAAACAGTAAAAAAAAGAATTAAATAAAAAATAAAATAAACTCAGCTGTAATATAATATCCAAGAGGAGAGTTGTTAGATAAGATAGCAATGAGACCGGAAGGCTTGGGAAAAAGTCGTTAGTGGTCTTTGCTCCAAAGGGAGTTGAAAAGCAAAGAAGAGGACGAAGAGGGCAAGGGAGAGTGTACGTGACCGATCCTCATCTCAGGTCGTTTGATAAATGGGTAGATGCACAAGAAACCCCTAATTTTTGAACAGGGCAGGACAGCTGGTTGGCTCTTTTAAGCGTGTGTACATTATGTTGTCGAGAGTAGAACAGATGGGTGGCTTTTTTTTCCACATGTTTGTACAGCATGTTGACGAGAGTAGAAAAGATAGGTGGATTGTACACGTGTGTACATTTCGTTGTCCAGGGTAGAGCAGATGGGTGGCCTGTACATGAGGGTCAACTTTTACAAGTCCGTCCTGGAAGAGAAGATCAAGCAGCTCGAGCCGTGCAAGAGCTTCCTGTGCCAGTGCTGCGAGCTGATGGGCTACCTCCAGCCCGGGCAACTGCTGGACAGATACGCGGCCCTCAACCACGTGTTTAAGGTCAGTGCGCGAGTCTGTATGTTCCCTACATCCCTGCGTGGTGTAAGCCAGCCAACCCCCCTTCCCCGACCTTGAACTTGGTAAATCCTTTGTGTGGGTCTTTCCAAACATGGTTTTGGTCTTCATTTTGGGAGTTAGCCATGAATATTTAGTAAAACAAAAATTACAATTGAAAAATTGTTAGAACATCGTTAATAACTCAATAATAATATTGATAACACCTGGTTACAAAAGTGATAGTAGCTCAACAATTCTTTACACTTTCACTTTTCTCAGCAAATCAATTCACCCAATTCAGTAATTTAAAAAAAAAAAAAACTTGTAGTAATTCTTCAAATTCACGTTTTCGGGCGACATTATGGCCGCGGGGTCCAAACATGTATCTGTCCATTCAGTGCCCATACTAGTGGTCTGCGTTAAAGTCCCAGCTTAAGCCAGAAAACTAATTGAAATATATTTTTAAATACTATGCCCGAAACAAAAATATACAAAATGTACAGAAAATCGAGTATTTGTATTTTTTTCCCTGTGGGGTGGTATTACCCCACCCCTAACGCAGACTGTAATCAGCTGCTTCATTTTCCCCTGGTGTAGATGACCCCCCCCCCCTTTTTCCACATACAAAACAAGATTGTATGTTAGTGCACATGTCACACGTACTTTCATTTCATCAAACAAATGTGTTTTTTTATATATATTTGTGTTCAGCATGTCGCTACTTCGATTGTAGCACTCAACGGTTGTAACACACGACGATTGTAACACGCGACAATGGTAACACACAACGATAGCAAAACACACAAAGATTGAAACATACAACGATTGTAACACGCACAAAGATTTTAACATACACCGATTGTAAAACACACAAAGATTGTAACATACAACGATTGTAGCACACACAAAGATTGTAACATACAACGATTGTAACACACATAAAGATTGTAACATACAACGATTGTAACACACACAAAGGTTTTAACATACAACGATTGTAACACACACAAAGATTGTAACATACAACGATTGTAACACACGATGATTGTAACACACGATGATTGTAACACACGACGATTGTAACTTACAACGATTGTAAAACACGACGATTGTAACATACAACGATTTTATCAGACAAAGATTGTAAAACATATCGATTATTATTTTTTTTTTTTTAAACTTTCTGCCAACAAAATCTGGTTACATTAAAAATTTTTTGCTTTGTTGAAAATATTCCGTTTGGTCACGTGGAAAATCTCTCTTCCCCCCCCCCCCCCCCCCAACACTATACCACACATTATTTACTAATTTTTTTTATAATATCAACAATGAAACATAAAAATAAACTTAACTGTGTCCTTTGTTATCACACTATACCCAATGAATGTTAACACACTATACCCAATGAATGTTAACACACTATACCCAATGAATGTTAACACACTATACCCAATGAATGTTAACACACTAAACCCAATGAATGTTAACACACTATACCCAATGAATGTTAACACACTAAACCCAATGAATGTTAACATACACACACGCACACCGCCCCCCCCCACACCTCCCTGACACCCCCCTACCCACTTTATCCATCAGGAACTGTACAGAGAGTACGATGACCGGATCAGTATGATGAACAAACTCCAGGAGCGGCTAAGCGACATCAAGTCTGAGACTGACCACAGGCACATGCTGATGCACAACGAGATGTCCGAGCTCCACATGAACCTTAAGGCGCTGACCACAAGGGTAGTGTTGTCATGTCTGATGTCTCCTGGCGACCTCACAGTTCACGCTGTCTTACATATTTAATCTTATATATGAAAATTGACATCATGTTAAATATTGAATATAACACTATGTTACATAATTCATGACACATTATCTTATATATTTCATTTTTTACCAGCTTACTTAACTAATACATATCTAATTATACAACACCTAATATATTTCATTACACACTATCTTATATATTCATTTTCACATAATCTTACATACTTAATTACACAATATCACGCAAATTTCACTCTATCTTACTATTTCCTTAAATGTTATCTTTCAAATTTCATTACGCGCCATCTTATAAAATCCATTACACATAGCTTTACATATTTCATTATGTGGTACTGTACATCTTCTACTAAACGTAATCTTACATAAAATATACCATTACATGTACTATCTTAAAGGTCTTAATACACACATTAGCTCATATGTTTACGGTCTATCTTGCAGGTTCAGTTACACGATAGCTTACATAATACATAACAGGGTGTCCTACTTATTATTTACTAGGACATTTAGCTTGATAGCGTTTATCCCACAATCGAGGTATGTCTTAGATGTTCTTGTCATCGCACACAATCGACACTTCTCGTCAAGTACAGAATTGAATTTTATAGTTCAAAAGTCGCCCACTGTTTTGATACTATGGCACCCTATTATTTGCAGTTTCCATAAAAAAAAGTTTAATAACTGTGTCCCATGTTTTCACAGATTACGCACACGAAGTTTAATTAATGTGTCGCATGTTTTGACAGATTACATACTCAGTTTGATTAAGGTGTCCCATGTTTTGACAGATTACATACATGGAGTTTGAACTTCACGAACGCATGGACCAGTGCACGGGGTCAGAGATGGAGCTGTACAACATCAAGAACTCCATCCATCGGTCATATGTCTCACTCATGCTGTACAGGTGATCTCTTTGCAGATTTCAAGTGATCGGTCATTGGGGGATCAGAGATAACAATGGGTGGTCCACTGGTAGACAATAATGGTTGGTGTTGGTGGTGGTTGCCAAGAGGTTAGAATATTAGGGGTTAGAAGCATGGGCGCCCGCAGGTAGGGGCAAGGTGGGGCACTTGCCCCCCCACCCCCCTGGATTGATTGGATAAAAAATTTTTAGACAAAAATAGACAAAAAATTTATTAGAGTAAAGAGAAAATAAAGAGAAAGTAACTAAGCTGATGTCCTGTCCGTTCGTTCACCATACAAATACGCTACAGTAAATTAAAACTATATTAAAACATTGCTTAAATTTTTTTTCCCCCCAGCAGAAAGTTTTCTGCGGGCGCCCATGGTTAGAAGGGGTGTTCGAATATTTTAAATGTAAACATGATGTGGATGCGTATCTGATTGGGTAAGAGGTGAAGTGGTGGGGAGGAGGTGAAGTGGTGGGTAAGAGGTGAAGTGGTGGGTAAGAGGTGAAGTGGTGGGTAAGAGGTGAAGTGGTGGGTAAGAGGTAAAGTGGTGGGTAAGAGGTGAAGTGGTGGGTAAGAGGTGAAGTGGTAGGTAAGAGGTGAAGTGGTCGGGAAACACAGGGGTCCTACTAAAGCACACACAAACACATGTGATGTTGTAGAGAAGTGGTTCTAAACCTGTGGGTCGCGACCTCTTTTTGGGGCCAAACGATCCTCACACTATGGTTGCCTAAGACCGCCGGCGGAAAACACATATTTATGAATTGGCAACGAAAATAATTGTATGGTTGGGGGGTCATCACAGTATGAGGCACTGTATTACTGTATTAAAGGGTCGTTGCATTAGGAAGGCTGAGAACCACTGTTGTAGAGAGATTGAAGTACCCACTTGCTCAGCATAACCCGCCAACTAATAACTGCATCAACAATATTAGATCAATAACACAAGGCAAAGACAAGAATAAAATAGCAATGCAAATGAGGTTACAAGAATACTACATAAAAAGCGACATCCATACAATAATATAATAACACTACAAATTCTGATTTTTATATCATGTCTCCAGGAGATCAAATATAACATACCAACTATGTGTTAAAAAAAAAAAAGGTTAAATTGAATATTTATGGGTATTAAGGATGTTCAGATGGATACAGCTAAAATTGACAATTAATATTAATCGTATCGCCTATTGTCTATATAATAGTTTCCCGAAGGCAGTAGGTGATTATTGAATAATCCGGTCTCTTTTATCACATACAATCTTGAGCATAAAATGTTCTAAGTCGAGATGAGAGTTGCACCTTAGAAGTGAAATATTTGGTTTTAAAAAAAATTTAAAAAAATAAAATAAAATAAATAAACCGTACGTTGTAGAACGATTTTTCCAGTGGCATATCTGTCGTCATTTGTTTAATATTTAAGTAATACCTTTATTTTATTCCAATGAAACGCATTAGGTTAAAAGGGGGAGTTGTACATATACAAGAAACGAACATAGCTCAGCGCCCCTTAACACAGAAACAAACAGCCCAGTGTGCACCCCCTTAACACAGACATACGCACAGCTCAGTGCACCTCCTCAACACAAACACACACTGCTCAGTGCCCCTCCTCAACACAAACACACACAGCTCAGTGCGCCTCCTCAACACAAACACACACAGCTCAGTGCCCCTCCTCAACACAAACACACACAGCTCAGTGCCCCTCCTCAACACAAACACACACAGCTCAGTGCCCCTCCTCAACACAAACACACACAGCCCAGTGCGCCTTAACATAGAAACCCAGCAAACCCCGTAGCTAGCCTGCACCTAATCCTCTCACCCTGCCAACCGGTATGTGTCTAACACTTGGCATTGCACCTCCTCTCCACAGGGGTCTGGAACCCACGGACACCGACCCTTTCGACCAGCTGGAGCACATCGCCACGAGGATCAAAACCACCCAGGAGGTCATCAGGATGATCCGGGAGGAGAACCAGCGGCGCGATATCTCCCTCCGGAGGTTCAGGCGGGAGAAAGACGGCGACCAGCCGGCCCAGGCGTCGGAGAGCGTGTCGAGCCTCGACACAGTCGACGACAACGAGAACCGGTACGACCACGCGCTGCCCCAGGACGCCAACAGCAACTTGTGGCTGGACGACGTCTCGTCGGTCCGGCCGACTCACGGGAATCCGGTCGGCGCGTCCGACAGAAGTAAATACGCGTGGGGCCTGCCTCCCATCAAGAACCTAACTCGCGGTCTGATTGGAAGGAAGAAATCGACCCGCGGGAGCCGGGTTTCAAATCTTTTGAGTCAGAGGAAGGATATGAGAAGGCAGTACGGAGCGGCCATCATTGGTCCTTCCCAAAAGAAGACAAATCCCAGCCCTGGCGAGAGCTCGCGTAAAAATGTCCAGAATATTTCATCTCCATTCAGACATCTACCTGAAATTCTAGAACAGGTCAACGAGACGTTACGGAAGGTGGACATCAACTTTTCTCATCCTCATCAAGTGGGTGTGACGTACAAGGTGGCAAGAGGGAATCTCGTGCCTCGACATGGCAGAGTTAGAGCAGACGACACTACAAGCAGATCAAGTGCAATAACAAAGGGGGGAAAGCTTGAAGACGAAGAGTCGGGCCCGAGGCTATCGAAATTTAAGTGTCTACCGGATGCCAGTGCTAAAAACGGCGTAAAGGAAAATCATAATTTCAATGAACTGCAGAGGATTGCGAAAGATTGGGAAACAGGTCTGCTGTCAAACAAGGCTGCTACGAATGACTTTGATTGGGAAACAGGTCTGCTGTCAAACAAGGCTGCTACGACAGACTTTCAAACTGAACCCAAGAACGGCAATCTTATCGATGGTTCTAAACGAATTAGACGACGTGACCCGGCTGTTAAAGAAATGAGTGTAAACGAACCAACACCATGTAAAAGTAGTCGACCACCGGACACCAAGAAATGTAAAACCGTACCCAAAACGGACGAGAAAGAAACGAATGCCAACCGGAAGGTGGCGGGTAAAATACCAGCGGACCTTCTCGGGCTTTGCACGAGACGGAGGCTCAAGCCGTGCGCAGACGTTACCAAAAAGATGGAGCCGTCGCGTGACGCAGCCAGCACGCGCAGGGCGGAGCCCCCGTGGCTGTGCAGACGGGAGAAGCTACAGAACTACCTGGAGATCTTAAACAGGCTTCCGGTGGGGGCACAGCAGACGACAAGCTCAGACTGAACGACATGCACGGCAAACAAAGTAACAAGCGCATATTCTACACTGAACAAAAAACTAAATGGTGTATGTATTGAGCGAACTTGGTTTATAACTAACTTTTATCCCAACAGTGAATGATGACGTTAAGTTGATGAGAGAAGGAAGTTTGTCGACAATGCCTTGGTGATACCGAAACATACTGACCTAAAAAAAATAATTAATTATGAAGAATATCATTCATATTTTTTTAAAATTTATTATACATTAAATCATTCTTAAAGTTCAGTCACAAAAAAAAAAAAAAAACCACCAAAAAAAAAACACTCTTTCGTACGTTAAATGGTTCTGCAATTTTAATCTCTTTCAAGATTTGGCTCGTTGTTGAACAATATCCAACAAAGAACTGAAAACCAGTTTAAAAAGAAAAGCTTTACCAAAGCTAGTGATATTAGTATTAGCAATATTTAAGTTAACTATACTATTAAAATTAAGATGTACGTAAAATTTAAAAAAAAGAGACAGAAATAAAAACTATAATTGCCTAAAGCACAGCCAGGGAAAAATTATAATAATCGAAAAATACAGAAATTAATATATATATATACATATATATATATATATAT